AAGGATGTAATAAAAATGAGTGAACAGATTTCAACGGCTAGGGCCTTTCAAATCAAAGGCTAACTATTTAACTATTTTAAATAGCAATTCTTGCTTAAACAAACTGTTTACAATAGAAACCTAAAAACTATTATTCCATACAATCACATAATAGATGCGTACAACAGAAAGAGAGAAGAAATATTTAAAGATGTTGTTCCAGCAGTAACGAAAAGTGTAAAAAAGGCAAGAAATGGATGGAAAAAAGAAAAGCTGAAAGAAAAGAAATTGCATCAGCATGTCTAGAGCTGGAAAATTACATTAGGCCACACTTGAATATAAAACTTAATGGTTTTGATTTCACTGGTCTAATGGACAGTGGTGCTTCAATTAGTTGTTTAGGCCATTCGATGCTATACAAAATTCGGATTAGGAAAAACCCATCTAGAAAAACACAATATTGATATAGGAAATGCAGCTCCTAAGAAAATGAGGTACTATCCTGTTAGTCCCGCAGTACAAAAATTAATGTACGATGCGTTAGACCGAATGCTAGAACTAGACGTAATAGAACCAGCTCAAAATTCTGATTGGAATAATAGGATTACTCTAGTTATAAAGCCCAACAAAAACCGCCTATGTTTAGATGCAAGGGAACTTAATAAAGTTACACGCAAGGATGCGTACCCTTTACCTAACATAGATGGACTTCTGTCTAGATTAGGCGACACTCACTATATTTCGGCAAGTGATCTAAAGGACGCATTTTGGCAAATTCCTCTGGAGGACTCAAGTCGCCCTTTGACAGCGTTTACAGTCCAAGGTAGACCTCACTACCAATTTAAGGTTATGCCTTTTAGACTGTGCAACGCTGCTCAAAGGATGTGTCAACTTATGGACAAAGTAATTCCTTCAGAATTGAAAGGCCGTGTGTTTGTGTACCTGGACGATCTTTTGATTGTGTCGAAATGTTTTAAAGAACATCTAGAGATGTTAAAAATCGTTGGGGATAAAATAACACAAGCTGGCCTTACAATTAACATACAAAAATCTAAATTCTGTTACCAAGAATTAAGATACCCAGGTTACATTGTAGGTGCTGGTAAATTGAAACCTGATCCAAACAAGATTGAGGCTATTATAAGCATAAAACCTACTAAATCTCAAAAATACGTCAGAAGATTTCTTGGAACTGTCGGGTGGTATCGTCGGTTTATCCATGACTTTTCAATATTAACGGCTGCACTAACAGGCACTAAAAAATCCCCAAAATTCACAATGACTCATCAAGCAATAGAATCCTTTGAGAAACCCAAACAATGTTTAGTATCAAGTCCTGTTCTTTCGAGCGCAGAGTTCTCTCTCATTTTTCAAAGAAACTGAACAGCGCACAGCGTAATTACTCGACAACAGAAAGAGAATGTCTCGCAGTATTTATCGCTTTTGAAGGATTCAGGCAATATATTGAATTAATGGAATTTACTGTCATCACGGACCATTCTAGCCTACAATGGTTAATGAAAGAAAAGGATTTAAATGGAAGACTAGCTAGGTAGAGCCTTAAACTCCAAGGATATAAATTCAATATAGAGCATCGAAAAGGTATTAAAAATGTTGTCCCAGACATGCTGTCACGTTTGGACATGGAAGAAGTTTCCATAAAAAATTCATCGTTCACAAATTTAAATTCAGATGAAGTCAAAACTCCTAGTTATCTTGCAGCTACCTGCAAGAAGATCATTCAAAATGGGATGAAAATTTATCGAAAATCCAGTGTGCCTTGCGGTCGACAATACATGCCTCAACAGGTACATCTCCGTATTTATCTCCGTATGATAACGCATGCTGACGCATACAAAATATTAAGAAAACTACATGCTTTGTAGGATGGAGATATAAATGTCTTACCTAAGGCTGACAAAATACAAATGCTGCACAAAAACATCAACAAAAGAAAACACTCTGCATATGAACGAAATAAATCGACATATAACAAACGGTCTAGAATTATATCCTTCCAGCCTGGACAAGAAGTCTATAGAAAAAACTTTGTGCAAAGTTATTTTACAAAAGGTATCAATGCCAAACTATGCAAACCATGGCTAAAATGCCGAATCAGTAAAGTGTTAGGAAATTGTCAATATGAAATTGAAAATTTAAAGGGAAACCTAATTGGCATAATTCATAGCCAACATTTCAAAGAGTAAACGGTTAGAACAGAAACATGTAGCTAATGTTAAAGTATTTCTCACCAATGTTGATTCAAAAATCCCATGAAATAGAAAGATAATCCATTTTCAACAATCAGTTTGTCGGATGTGTGGTCGGTTCATGGACCTGAAATAAAGAATACACATTAATGAAATTGAATAAAAAAATTAATGGACCTGACAAAAATGACAGCTACACATTGATTGTAAAATCATAAAAAATATATATTATTTATTTATTCCAAATTGATAAGCTTGTCGTTGCTGTGACTTGGTATTCCATCAATCAACTTCTATTTGGGATAGAGATCGTCGAATGTGAACCTACTAATAATATTTGATGAATTATCAAAAGATCATTTACAATAGCGTTTGAATTATAAATTCTCTAATGTATATTAAATTGATATAAATATAAAAATTATAGTACAATAATAAGCACTAGAATGCGAAACTAGTTGAAAGTGAGCAAAATGCAAACATTTCTTGCTTATCAAAACATTCCGAAAATAGTTATACTAACACCATTTATACCATATATTTAAATTAAATTCAAGTTCCACCATAGTTGCAAGAAGTATGTTTCTAATAGGATTTTATCTCATTGACTGTCAAATAGTCAAGTGGTGAGGTGACAAACATTGAAGTCACCATTTAATTTAAATAACAGATAAAAAAGTATTAACCGTTATAGTGCGTATCATGATGAACATTATTAACTATTGTTGCTAATTATTTGCAAATTGTATATTGAAATAATTAGAAGTTTCACACGCACACATACATCAAATTTCGTTCATACAATTATATAAAAAACCTATAACCATCACTCGGGTAAACAAATAATAAAAAATCCTACCAAATATTTGCTTTATAGCACGTGAAACAAATTATCTTGTAATCTCTACAGGATTTTGTGGAAAAATAATCCTTTGATTATCACCTTAAGGATTAACCCTCACACTTACAGTCAACACATTGAGGAAGATATTTTATCCCGAGTGAACATTCTTCTTTTATAACCTCACCATATACCACAAAAAAAACCCAACCTCACCAAAAATTACACCACATGGTTTGGCAATCCGGTTAAAAATTGTACACCAACCGCAAAAGAGAGACAAAATTATAAAGAACAGAGTTATCAGTTATAATGCAGTTATCAAATATAAGATAAATTCGTAAAAAAATAATCATAAAAAGTAAAAAATTTAATGTAAGATCTTAATAATTCATGTTCAAGATCATAATAATCGAAGTACAGTTTTTGTATAACCAATTACGATTACACGTGGTTCAGTTCTTCAGTTTGAAAGCCACTGTCATAACTTAAAAAATATCGTAATTAGTTGCAAAGCATACGCTTAGGCACAAATAATCGTTGTATCGTATAAGAAGGTACCCCAAAATATAATTAAAAATACAAAAGAGAAAAATATTACAAACAAAATAAAATTTAAAAAACAACAGCAATTTACAAATAGTTATATAAATTGTTATTTAGTTATTTTTATAAAACAAAATTATTATTATGAAAATTTATTGTTAAAGAAAATGAAAAATATAAATATTAAATTATATTTGTGAATTATGTCTTAAAAATGTGTTAACTAATTGAAAAATGCGCAGAATAGTGGTCGTATAGTCTGAGCTGTTCATAGAAGGGATATTTCTTAATAAATTAATCTTGGCAATGAAATACCATAGGATGACTGTAATAATGTCCTAAAGGGAGGGTAGCCAAAGAGGTACAACATCTAACCTCATGAAAATTTAAAATTCACAAAACTTTAATTTGAATTGAACGGTAAGAAGGTAATGTTTTTCTTTAAATGCATACGTCTACAAAGTTTTGTTTTGTTAAACTTTTATTTTTTTTTGTGTATTTAATTTCCGTAAAAAATGGTACATATTTTTTAAATGTACAGTTCAGCGGAAGAATAACCACCCCATCCGGCTAAGCCGCAGCCAAACATCTAAGTACCATCTCCGCATTTTAAATCAAAGAAACTGTTACAGAATCAAGGGCTGATCAAAATGCCGGCTCTGTCGGACAAACATTGTGAATTTGGTTTACCATGTGCACCAACTCGGACGGAAACATATAAAGGAGCTATACCTAAATTTGATCCGATTATAATCAAAATCTGAACCGATTTTCACCAATTTCCAATTTGACCCAAATATTTAGATGTACCAAATTTCATTACGTTCGGATATTAAATGCGACCTGTACATTGTTCATAATGCAACATAGACAGATGGTCGGAACCATGGGTCTGTCTCGTTTGCTTTTGTGTATTAGAAACATATGCCCAAAGCCATGATACTCTGTACTACAGTATGGTGAAGGAGATAAAAATAGACTGCTTATTAATAGATTTGAGATTTTAAAAATTAAACATTTTATTAACCCCTGTTTTAGTCTTCAGTTATTCGGTAAAATGTATGCGCTAGGGTTTATTGCAACCTTGGGTTAATGCTTTTGGCGTTTCAACGAATAATTAATTGTCACTTGTTTTCCCGCCTCCTTTAAGCATTAAGGAGTACCATACTGTTAATCGGACGCAATATAGTTTTCAAGCACTTATCGTTGTGCATAGAAAGGTAATTTCGGTACCATCTACCCAACCAACTAATAAAGGATTGCATATGTTTGTTATGAAACTCTTCTGTTTATCTTATTTACTTTCACGGCGCTCTAGTTACACCCACTCCCATACGGTCCACTGCTCGGCGCATTCGGCGTACCAAGTCCCATAGGCGGAGACACTCTGAGATAAACAATAATAATTTATTATTTCTTTGTAGGTTTTCGGAAAGATTATGTTGGAGGAAGGGACAGCAATTGACCGTAACAACAATTTTCAAACATTCCCCCAAGCCGTTTTAGTTTTATTTCGTTCTGCAACGGGAGAGGCTTGGCAGGAGATTATGATGGCTTGTTCTCCACGGGATGATGTCAAATGTGATCCAGAATCAGATGCAGTTAGCAACTGTGGTTCAAGCATTGCTTTTCCTTACTTCATATCGTTTTACGTTTTATGCAGTTTCCTTGTAAGTTTTTTGTTCATTAATTACAATTTTTAAGATTTTTCGTAATGTGTCGTATTTACAGATTATTAATTTGTTCGTAGCCGTAATTATGGATAACTTCGATTATCTTACTCGTGATTGGTCCATACTAGGCCCTCATCATTTGGACGAATTCATCAGATTATGGAGTGAATATGATCCTGATGCAAAGGGCCGCATTAAACACTTGGATGTAGTTACACTTTTGCGAAAAATTTCTCCTCCTTTGGGATTTGGTAAATTATGCCCTCATCGTATGGCATGCAAACGCCTTGTGTCAATGAATATGCCACTTAATTCAGATGGGACAGTACTATTTAACGCAACGTTGTTTGCTGTTGTTCGCACATCTTTAAGTATTAAAACGGAAGGTAATATTGACGAAGCTAATGCTGAACTACGAGCAACAATAAAACAAATTTGGAAGAGAACAAATCCAAAATTGTTAGATCAAGTTGTTCCTCCACCTGGAAACGACGACGAGGTTACTGTTGGTAAATTTTACGCAACATATCTTATACAAGACTATTTCCGTCGGTTTAAAAAGCGAAAGGAACAGGAAGGTAAATGCGAACATACAGAAAGCTCAGTAACTTTACAAGCTGGACTTCGAACACTGCAGGAAAATTCCCCAGCATTAAAAAGAACCATTTCAGGATATCTTGATGAGTTGTCAGCAGAAGCTGATCCCATGCATAGGGTAAGTTAAAATTTCGTTGAAAGCAATAAAGAATACAAATAAGTCGTTAATATCGAAATCATTGTTATTATCCCAAATTAATAGTGGAGTAAATTCGGGGTATGTGGTCTATTACATATAATGGTGGAAATATGACAACGTCGCTTAGATGCATGTATTCCGAATTAGTGAAACAAAGATCAAACATAATTGCAATGATGAAGATATATATATATATATACATATAGAAACAAGTTCATATTAAATTATATATTGTTAATATGTATTATTGCCAGCCTGCCTCAATTATGTTTTTGTGGAAGGAAGCATACCCTTAAATACTTTCATCAACTAAACCCAAAAAAAACGTAATTAGTATGTTTCTAAACACAAAATCTGTTTTAACTACATGGAATGCAAAAGGAACCATCATACATTGCTACACTCCCCCAATCAAAACAAAATTCTCAAGGTATCACTCCTAGTAATAATCCAAGCTCTGTCAGCACATCAAACTAACAACTTCGTAGATGATATACCTACAATATCTTACCAGAGTGAAGAGCCATAAGTTCTTCAAGCATATACACATATGGTTACAAACAATTGTTACTCAACAAACGAAAATATTTCGTTGTCTAGCGCAGTTGTTACGATTTGTCATAATGGCGATACATTTACAGTCGGTGCCTCTTTCGTAGAATCTGAAAAATTAATTACAGTGAACTCTCGATAATGTTAGCTAATTAATGTCGGAGTAGTTCATATTTGATGTTTTTTAAATTACTAATTTATTCTTTCTTAACAATATGATAGTGAAAATTATTAAGTGATAATCGATCAACAATAACAACCGGATATGTTTGGTTGGTGGTGGAGTAAACAATAGATAAACCAAAAAACAAGATCAGCGGCTGTTGTGGTATGATTGTTGGCATTTTTTATTTAGTCATTCTATGAGGTTGAGAATAAAAGAATAGCAACAGCAAAGATTCGAAACAACAAATATACCAGAAGATAAATAAGTAGGAAAGTGTGTATGCTGTTATTGCCAGCAAATTCTTTGAGGAGGCATTTAAATAAACTATAAAGAATACCAACAGCAACCAATTCGTTTGGCTAGAGAGGAATATAACAAAAAAAAAAAAAAAATAAACTGCAACGAGCAACATGTGGGGAGATTATTTATTATGTTAGTACAAATATGATGAATAGCAAACCAAAAAAGCAACAACAAGGATTTGTCCTCCAATGATCACTACAATAGCAACAAATGTGGGCTATAATTCGGTGAATTAGAGAAAATTTACAAATACATGCGTAGTGATAACTGGAAGCCGATAAATGCCAATTTAATATCATTAGACGTTGACTAGGAAACAAAAATGACTAATGCTCGCGGATTCTAACTTTTTACGAAATCTGCGTTTATGTACCTGTTATTAGTATGGTGACTTGTTGATTGCTGATGAGAGGTGATATATTCCAATGTTTTCTCCAAAGAATGACTACAAAACGATGGCTTCAGTACACGCAAACAATGAATATGCGGCTGGTTAATATGTGGCTCGATGCGACTAATGTTTAGGCGAGGGGCATGTTTTAATGGTGTATAGATAAAAAAGTTGAAAGGAAATAAAGCACAAGAGTAATGACTAAATATATTCAATTCTTGGGTTTATTGGTGGTACTATTTTCTTTATTACAATAATATGGATTGGATTTGTTAATTGATAACGCCTAGACGTTATGCAATAAGTTGCTTCTAAGGCTAGAAGACAAGTCGGTTTGTAGGCAAGTTATTTCTATGGATGTTGGTAGACAAGTGATCGCTGGGCTTTAGTGCAATCCCTGTGGATCTCGGTTATCGCTGAGGGGCGGTTGTTGACTACTATTACATCTACATATTACAATTGGACAATCCCCACTCGGCAGCATCTGCTCTCTATGGTCTCCGATAAGCGACCTTTGCCAAGGAGATGCCCGTTGTATCAATGAGCACACGTGCTTGACTGAACTCGGGATGTTGAGTCTGAAGATATTAAACTTACACAGCGTTATTGCTATTGAATAATAAATAATAATAATCAAAATAATTTACTAGCTCAGAGTTCAATTGTACATAGCATTACACCGAATAATGTAATACGTACGAATAATGTTATACAACGAATATTTTCCAAGGACATCTTGTTAGTCCTTGGACTCTAGAAATACTAAATTAAGCCATTTATTTCATGCTAGCAAAGTACCCGCTACTTCGTATGCGGAAAGGAAATAAGAACAATATTTCATATGGAAATCGTGAATACTGTATAATTAGTTGTACTATAGTTCTGAATTTCACCTCTATTCCTACATTTAATATCATGTTTATTACCATTAAGTACTCTTCATACACATAAACTCTATTTGCCGAAATCCACACTTTAGCAAAAACGTACAGGTTCCACATGTAGTTCCATTTAGAACTTTTCGAACACATAAGTATACATATTCAAGACTACCTCTATACCATCACTAAATTTAGTCCCAAAAAACCCTTTGGTCCTTCTTTCTAACTCTCTGTCAGTGACCAACATTCTAAATTTTAGGTTTCCAGCTCTCTTCGTTACCCAAATCCAAATGGTTCTAAATTTAGTGACGTTTCTATTCTATTTACTTTTGGTACACAAAACTACGACTTTCCAAAGTTGTCTCCATAGCTCAATACTACACTTCAGCAGTAATCTAAATTCCAAATAAAAAAATCCAAATTGTTTCAAATTTAGTACCATTTATTACTTTTCGTAGACGTAAGTACGAGTTTCTAAAACTGCCTCAATTCCACACTTAAACAGTAATTTTATTCAAAAACTTCAGGATAACAGCTCTATCCGTTCACATAGATCCAAATTGTACCATATTTAGTACTTTTCGTACTCTTGAGTTCGACTTTCCAACACTGTCTCAATCCTTTGCTAAAAGAGTAATTTTATTTTCAAATCCATCCATCTCTATCCTTGTACTAAACTTAGTACCATTTGGTACACAAGATTACGTATTTTAAAAACTACCTCCTCTACCTCATCCTACACTCCTACCTTATTTTTAAGTCCAAATATTAGGATTCCCGCTCACACAAAACGAATTGTACCTTATTTAGTACCAATAAGGTCTTCTCGTATCCATAAGTATGAAATTCCAATACTTCCTTAATCCTGTAATTTTAATTCCAAATTTTCGTTTACCATTTCTATCTGTTAACTCGAATCAAAATTGCACCATTTTGTATAAACTGTAATATTAATTCAAATTTTCAGAATCTCAGCCCTATACGTTTACATATTTGTAAACTTTTTGGTACCATTTAGTACTTTTGGTTTCTATAATTAAAAATTTCCTAAACTATGTCAATCCTACACTCCAACAGTAATTTTCATTCGAAAATTCGGGAGTCCAGCTCTATCCGTACACATAGGTACTATGCTTCCATATCTCAATTCCATATTCAAACATCAACCAATAGTCCAAATTATGGGTTTCCAGCTCTCTCCGTTCACCCAAATCCAAATTGTACCAAATCTAGTGCGGTTTAATACTTTTCATACAAATAAATACGAGTTTCTAAACATGTCTCTATTGCTCAATCTTCAACAGAAATCTTAATTCCAAATTTCAGGTTTTCAGTTCTATCCTTTCAAGCAAAATCCAAATTGTACCAACTTTTTTAACCATATAGTACCTTTCGTACAAATAAGTACGAATTTCATAATCTACCTCAGTCCAAAACTCCAACAGTCATTTTATATCCCAATTTGAAGACTTCAGCTCTATCTTCTCACCTAAATCCAACTTGCACCAAATTTAGTACTTTTCGTAGAAATAAGTACGATTTTTTAAAGCTAATTCCGATTATCAAGACTCCATCTCTACATACTCAACTGAATGTAAATAGTACCGAATTTAGTACCATTTTACACTTGGTATACACATAAGTACGAATGTCTTAAACCATTTCCGTACATCAACACCACTTCCCAACATGTATTCCATTTAAAATGTCAAGATTCTAACTATATATACAAAACTTCCAGCATACCCCGATTCTACACCCCCATAATGATCACAAATTCATATTTGAGGACTCCAAGTCTATGGTTAACCCGCAATTTAAAATGTACCAAATTTAGTACACAGTAGTACGAATTTCCAAAACTTCCTACTTAACCCAATCCCCCCGCAGTGATCCTATATCCAAGTTTCAGGATTACAACTCTATCGGTTCACCTACAATTCAAATTGTACCAAATTTAGTACACAGTAGTACGAATTTCCAAAACTTCCTACTTATCCTAAACCTACAACCCCACTGTGATTCTAAATCCAAATTTAAGGATTACAACTCTATCGGTTCGCCTACAATTCAAATTGTATCACATTTAGTACACAGTAGTACGAATTTCCAAAACTTCCTACAGACCCCAATCCTACACCCCCCAGTGATCCTATATCCAAGTTTCAGGATTCCAATTCTATCGGTTCGCCCACAATTCAAATTGTACCACATTTAGTACACAGTAGTACGCATTTCCAAAACTTCCTACAGACCCCATTCCTACACCACCACAGTGATCACAAATCCATGTTTCAGGATTCCAACTCTATCGATTCACCTAAAATTCAAATTGTACGATATTTAGTACACAGTAGTACGAATTTCCAAAACCTCCTACTTACCCCAAACAGTGATTGTTTCGCAATTACGCCTTTTTACCTTTCTTGCCCTTTTTTTAATTTGTAAGATTTAGGTTAATTTTTTCAATTCATTTTAGGCTTTTATTCGATTTGTTGTTTTCTTATGTACATTTATGTTTTAACTTATATATATATGTTGGTTTAGATTTGTGTTATTTATATATATATGTACAGGTTTTAATTAGATTTTAATTCATTATTTTATAAGTAGGTTTTTTCACTTTAGTTAGCATAAAATTTCTAGGTTTACATTTATTTTTAAATTCAAATATATTTTAGTTATTTTTAATTCAATTAAATTGTAGGTTTTTTAATTCAACTAGATTTTAACTTGTTTTAGTTTAAGTAGATTTAAGTAGTAATTTTAATGTAATTTTTTAGTGTATTTTTAAGTTCATTAGGTTTAAGTTTTTTTTGTTTTCCAATTTAAGTTAATTATTTTTCGCCCAACTTTCACTGGCGGTTTCTTGGTTTGCACCCACTTTGGTTTGTTGTTGTTGACTCTGCTGTGTCGTTTTTTGTAGATCTATAAAAAAACTTTATTTGTTAATGTCACTTTGTTTCTGTTTTTGTTGCACTTTGTCACGGGGGGGAACACTGTTTCGCGGTTTGACGATCGAAAAAAGACTAGCCCAAACTGAAATTTGCAATGTCATAGCAAACCAGTTTGAGCTGTGCGAATTTTCCATATTTTGGAATTCAGCACTGGAATTTACCGGTGGCTACATAAACATATGTGTGGGTGTATGTAATTTTATTTGCACTATTTACATTGTTTACATGTAAATGTGCCCAGTGCCGCTTATGTTTATGTAGCCGCCGGCAAAATATCAACCGACAGCTTTGGGCTGTTTGTACCGTAGTACAATGCCGCATACGACCTTTTTGCCGCCGGCTAAAGTTTTAATGACAGCTGTGTGCTGTTTTAATTTTTATGTTTCTCCAAACATTTCTGGCCCCGCCGTGACAAGTGTATATCTAAATGGTTATTATAATACTTATGAATTCCATGAGAGGTTCCTTATGGGTCCGGCGAAAACGTTTCCTAGGCGGGTGTTGTATGCCAGCACGTCTCCAATACCCGCAGCCGAGCACCCCTCCCTCCTAATGGCCGAATAAGTGTCGGCACCCAGTTCCACATCAATCGGCGTATTACCCCGTGGGTCAGGGACTGCCAGAGCGTCACTGGTGAAGCTGGTCGTGGGGTTTTCGAGAATCGAGTCAGAGTAGATTCTTCTTGGCAAGTCGTCAATGATGATGGCATTCACTCGCAGTGTCCAATTGCTGCTTTGCCGGCGGGGTGCAATTGTAAATGATGTGAATCTTTCTCCCCGGTAGTGGCGCGAGGGCAACCCAATCCTCCGGAAGGCTGCGTACGAAATCTTAGACATCGTTGCCGATTGGCTAAGTATAGCCCTTAGCATTGTGAATCCCTCGACGCCGTCCACCGATACCCGCACCATGACCGTCGGTACAAATACAATATCCCAGGCGAACGCTGGGGCAGAAACGGCCTCAATATTTAAGGGCATCTCCTCTAGCTGGGAGGCCCCATGCAAAAGGGTATGATGCCGGTCGTTGCATCGACGGCAGCCATCCAAAGATGCGCAGTCGGGGGCCAAATGGCTTCTCGCCAAACAGTTACGACAGTACCCCCGACGCTCGACCGTCTCGTATCGCTGGAACGGAGTCTGTTGCTGGAATCGGGGGCAGGAGCTCAGCGCATGGTCCTCCTGGCATAGACCACACGAATACTGCCAAAAACTGGGCCTTTCGCGGCGTTGCTGGGGTGGGGCGTTGGACCGGCTTCGTCGGCGATCCGTGGAACTGGGTCTTCTAGCGCGGGTGGGGCTGCGGGCTATACGTTCGGGATTTCTGTTTCCTCTGCTAGGGTGGCGGGCTGCTCTGTCGGGACTGGAGCTGCGTTCGGCTAATCTCCAGTCTTGATTGGGCAAATAGGCGGCCATGTCTGAAAAGATTAAGAGAATGCGAGTACAAAATTCTTCTTTTAATTGGGGTCCGACTAGTCAGTCGGAGAACAATTTGACTATTTTTGTGATTGGTCTGCTTATTTCGCCACCAACCGTTCGAATGTCTACAACCCTTGTATTTTGGTCAGTTCCTAGGTAAGTTTTTTGAATCCGACCTAATTTCCATTCGTGAGGAGCTAATCTGTCGTCTTTCACCACCACTAAGTCCCCTTCTTTAATGTTGTCCTTCTCATATTTCCATTTAGTGCGTCTGTGAAGCTCATGTAGATACTCCAGTTTCCATCGATTACAAAAATACTGAGAAATCACCTTGAGTCGTTTCCAACGATTAACTAAGCTAATGTCAGTATCTGAAATGTCAGGTTCGGGTGGAGTAAGGATTGAGGTACCTATTAGAAAGTGACCAGGGGTCAGTGGGGAAAAATCGTTGGGGTCATCAAAGTCGCTTGCTGGTTCCAGATGTATGGCCTTCGTCGCGAAACACACAAAAAGGCACACATAACCTTTTGTTAAAAAACAAGTTCGACCAGTAAAATTCTTAATGTTGAACGGTCCCGCAAAGTCTACTCCAGTATTGGTAAAGGGTCTAGATAGCAGTGTGCGTTCGGGCGGAAGGGAAGCCATTATTTGCTCCTGGGTTCGTTTTTTATGAATTATGCACGTCTTGCAATTGCGTATAGTCTTTTTGACCAATGACTGAAGACCGAATATCCAGAATTCGGCCCTTAAAACTCGGGTCATTAGTTGATTACCTCCATGTAGGGTGACTTTGTGAGTAAAGTCTACTAATAATTTGCTAAGTGTCGCTCCGTGAGGTAATAATATAGGGTGTCGTTCACCGTACGTGAGCGCCGGTGATTGTACCAATCTGCCATTTGAACGCATAATTCCCTTTGAGTCCAGAAATGGGTTAAGTGTCAAGAGTGAGCTGGATGGGGA